GCCCTACTTTCTAAACATAAAACAAACCACTCATTGCTCTACTTTCTAAACATAAAACAAACCATGAGTCCCTTTCTCTTACACCGCACCGCCTCTAGTGCGGCCAATTCGAAGACTCGAGCCACACCGTCACCTCGTCTAGCCGAGCACTCTACATAGCGACAGGCGTGGATGCGTCTGGCCAGCAGCTCTCCCTCACACCGGCTCACGTAGCCCACCCCGCAACTCCCCTCCTCCACGGTCGACAACTCCTCGTTGTACCGCTCTGCGCATGCGCAGGTCCGGTTGCTGCTGATGCTGTTGTTGTTACTACTACTACAACTACCACCACCACTTGCCACCTTCGCAGCACTCTGACCTTGACTTTGGAACCGATCGTTATTGTATGTCCGGGGGAAGGAGTGGAAGAATTCTTCCGGCATGGACAGAGGGCGTCTCTGTTTGCCCCCGCTCCTGTATTTGTTGCTGTAGTTGCTGTCTGCGTTAGCAAAGCTAGTACTCAAGAGTCGCCGTTCACTGCAGCTGTAGTTGTTGTTGTCGAGAATTTGGAGGAGGCTGTTGAAGCTGTCGTCTCCCATGGACGTGTTGCTGCGTCGCTTGGGTCTGTCTTTGGCGCCGCTCCCCGAGGAGCCGACAGACGTGGTGCTGAGGTGTACCCCCGCCCGCCCCCGAAAGCTGCGGTCCAACACACCCTCGCGTGGGTCAACGGGCCGTGGGGGGGAACTACCCCCCTCCCCACTTCTCCTGTTCTTCCACACCGGGGTTGAACCCAAATCAAACGGGAGGGACTCCGGCCTGCTCCCCCTCCTCCCCCTCCTCCCGACTGTGTTCCAATCTTCTGCTCTACACGGCGTCCCTGACTGTCCGACCCTGCGGCCCGCTCGCCGAGTGTACCCCCCCTCCCCCCCTACGACACCATAGGCCCGGCTGTCACTCCTCACACTCCCTCTTCTCAGCCACACACGCACGCTGTCCTCAGCGTCACTCCCGGCCGAACGTTCGAGAATCTGTCCGACCTGTCCGTTCACAGACGGCGTAGACTCCCGCCACAGCGCCTCCAGCCTCATGGCGTCATCTCTGACGTCACACTTGGTCCCCACCAGGAGGACGGGGCATCGCTTGGAGAACTTCCGCACGCGCGTCAGCTCGCGGGCCCACAGTGACGTCACGTTGTGAAAGGACTGTCTGTTGGTGACGTCAAAGCACAGGAGGATGGTGTCGGTGGCGGGGTAGCTGAGTCGTCGCTCAGACTCCAGGTCCTCTCCCCCGGGCAGATCGTAGATGACCAGACGGACC